TATCCAGATCCCACACTGAGCTGCCTGCACCCAGACTGTCCAACAGAGAACCCTCTCACGCCACACCTGGACCCCCCCACACTGAGCCCCTTCACATCTGCATCCTGCTGGTTGAGCCTGCCTGCCCACATCTGGTGTGCCTGGCGCAGAGGGGCAGGGCCCCAAGGTGTTTCTGGGGCAGACCCAGGCCTTGTACTGTGTCAGAGTCAGGTGCAGCCTCACTGCTGAGTCCGTGTCCACGGTGTGGGAGTGGGGGAACTGCAGGGTGATCTCCCACTTTCATGCAGCCAGTGGCCTATGCGCCACACTGCCATGTGGAGCCTCTGCATTTATTTACTGACAAATAAAACTTGCAGAATTTTTATTTTTTTGATGCAGAATGCCCTCAGGAGTAATAGCTGCCAACATCTCAACATTTTTTAAATGGGTAATCCACCACATTCGCTGTGGTCATGAAGATTACTAAAGGGCAAATTGTAGTTATTTTTCTCCAATTATTTAAACTTTAGAATTCAGGGTAGTTAGCAAAATTAATAAATGCTCAAAATAGTCACCTCACCCCTTTACAGATATACAGTTTATGTAATGGAAATACAATAAAATAGAAGTATAAATAAAATCTCACCCCTTCCATTTCTTCATGTTTTTTAAAATCTCATTGATTCTAAGGATTTCCATACCATTTATATTTCCTCTCATTTCTAGCTACAGTTTCCTCATCTTCTCTCTTCAAGAAGAAACCTTCCTCTCATTCTGTCCATTTATTTTCCCCATTCTCTGTTCTCTAGAGCAGGGGTTCCCAAACTTGGTTCACGGATTGCTCAGGGTAAGCCCCTGGCGGACCGCGAGATGCCTTGTTTCACACTCTTACTTTAAATAGCACTTTACAGACCCTGAACTACATTACCCAGAATCTTGTGAGTCAGTCACACATGTGCATCAGTCTCTCACTGACTGAGGGAGAAAGAGAGGCTGATGCGCATATGTAGCTGATGCATACGATTCTGGGTAATATAACTGAATTTATTAATTTGACATAAATGGATCTTTATGTGGGCGACGTTATTAAATCAGGAGTTGGGAATTTTTGGTGGTATATGGGAGTCTCCCTGAAATACCAGGAGACTTAGTAGGTTTGGCCAACAGCCTTCAGCTTAGCAGGTTCCTAAGATGAGCTGCTCCACCCTTGTGGCCAGAAGCTACAATGGTAGCTCAGAGCTCATTTTCAGGCAGTCAGCCAGCCTGCAGCAGTCCTCGTGTTATCAGTGGAAGTCAGATAGCTCCCCTATATATGAGTCACCCCTGATCCTTTTCCTGAGAAATATAAGGGACTCCTGGTCACAGATTCTTGAACCTCAATGGCCAGCCCTTCTTGGCTGGGAAACACGAATAACCAATGGCCTTAAGGGAAAACGACTGACACAAACTTTCCACTCTAATGGTTTACGTTTTGAAGGATCTTTCAGTAACAAAGAGAGCTATACATTGCCTTTTATTAAAAAATAAAAAAAAATTAAGCACTGATGAGGAGGCCTTGCCTATATGTCCAGTTAAACCAGACTTAACACTGGTTAAACTGCACCCTTTATCAGCACTAGGTAATTTTCCTAGTATACAGAAGACATTAAGGAGTCCCATGACCATGGCCAAAAGGCTCCCTGGATACTCTGCATTTCTAAGCACCTTTCATCTAAAGATCAAAGTTCTTTAGGAACATTAACTAATTAAGCCTCATCTAGGTAGTTAAGGCTTCATTTTACCTTCTAATAAAATACAACCATCTTGGAGGTGGAAGAACAGTTAGACTAGGAGTGAATGATACTGTATTTTAGAATTAAAATAGGAATAAAATTAATTTTGTATCCCACTGAATTTAGAGGTAATTTAGGCAGAAAGAATGTAAATATCAGAGTTTAAATTTGGCCAGAACAACACTTTACATTAAAGATCACAGAGCAAATGTTTTTATCATTGATGGTCACGACATCTGAAAGGCAGCACCTCAAGCAGTACAGTACTATATACTTGGGTTTTGGTTCAGTGTGACTAAAAAGGAAGAATTAGCCTACTGAATCACAATACTACTAATTACAGGTATTCCTGAGTGGTCACCCAGCTCAGTTTTGCTTAACTTGCAAATCTGCTTTGATCAGAGTATAAAGTGACATATCTGTAAGCAAAGGTGACAAGCACTGTACATTAATTAAGAAAATTACTGAGGAGTTTGTTCTGTATTTTGAAACCAGAATGAAATACCCTGTGTGGAAAAAAACTTCATCTCTAGCCCCAATGTCAAATAACATGTTTCCAACGTATTAAACTAGGATTTAAACCAAATTATAGAACCAGTTTTAAACAATTTCTAAAGTGGTTTCATAGAATCATAGAATATCAGGGTTGGAAGGGACCTCACGAGGTCATCTAGTCCAACCCCCTGCTCAAAGCAGGACCAATCCCCAACTAAATCATCCCAGCCAGGGCTTCGTCAAGCCTGACCTTAAAAACTTCAAAAGGAAGAAGATTCCACCACCTCCCTAGGTAACCCATTCCAGTGCTTCACCACCCTCCTAGTGAAAAAGTTTTTCCTAATATCCAACCTAAACCTCCCCCACTGCAACTTGACACCATTACTCCTTGTTCTGTCATCTGCTACCACTGAGAACAGTCTAGATCCATCCTCTTTGGAACCCTCTTTCAGGTAGCTGAAAGCAGCTATCAGATCCCCCCCCGTCATTCTTCTCTTCCGCAGACTAAACAATCCCAGTTCCCTCAGTCTCTCCTCATAACTCATGTGTTCCAGTCCCCTAATCATTTTTGTTGCCCTCCGCTGGACTCTTTCCAATTTTTCCACATCCTTCTTGTAGTGTGGGGCCCAAAACTGGACACAGTACTCCAGATGAAGCCTCACCAATGTCGAATAGAGGGGAAGGACCACATCCCTCGATCTGCTGGCAATGCCCCTACTTATACAGCCCAAAATGCCACTGTTGACTGGTTGATCAAGATGAGGCCAAAATGGAATTTAAAAACTTTGATCCAATGCAGCTAGGAGTACGATGACTGGGCAAAACATCACAAGGGAATCTGTTTTAGCCATATGGAAGTTCAGCTGAATACAAGAGGCCACTACAATTTTCATTTTTAATGCTTTTCTTCCACACGGCAGCTTTGGCCCTTGGGCTGAAGCCCACTGAGATTCTGCAACAAAATATGCTTAGTTGACTTTTTGCTCAATACAGCACTTAGCCGGCAGGTTGTACCAAAGGCTAAAACAAATAAAGATCATAGAAGTGAGAAATGAGTATTATGTCAATAAAATCCAAATCCTGCCAATGCAGTGATTCTTTTATGCAGCATGTTTTCTAATGCTTTGTCTGGTCTTGTTTTAAAATGTCTCAAGCAATAGGGCTTCCACCAATTCCCTTAGAAGACTACTTGCTCTCTAACAAATCTAGCAGTTTTTCTTAATATTCAGCCTAAATCTTCTTTTTCCTTATTTCAGTCCAAAACAGGTATCTCTCTCCCCAATCACTTTCACTTAGACCCAGCATATAGTTTCTAAAGGACACTGGGTTATATTCATAAATTAAGAAATATGAATAATGCTCACTGATTTTGCTAATTTGTGCTTCAGAGCAGTATAAACTACAACTCATCTGCATACCTTCTCACACAAAAAGACCAGTTTTTTTCCTAATAATTTTTCCTTTTAGAATGATTATTCTGAGGTCAAATAAGTTTGGTCTCAACTTTAAGCAAATAAGGTTCCTACTTAGAGAGGGTTTGTCTCACTGAGTTTGATTTTTGATTATATTAAGTTTCTACATACAATTTATTTACATATTAAAAATATTTCAGATAAAATGCTAACTATATTACTGTTTGATTGAGCTCATTAAAAACATGCAGTTTTATTTAGAATATGTTTAGCGTTCACTGCCAAATACTACCTTTTAACAGAGGAAGGACTTTCTGACTTTGCTCCTAATTCAGAAAAGGGGACCTTCCAATATCATCTGAACAAGTGACAATAAAGCTATTATTCTAGTCATTAATAATCATACAAATTAGAGATGGAAAGACTTATCTAGGTCATTGAGTCCTCCCCTGCCAGTACAGGACTGTTCTCTGCACCCTGTTTACTAGTGCTTTATTGGCTTGTTTTAGCGATTATTTTACACTTCAGCTTACAAACATCAGATCAGATGGATTATTTTTCTCAAATTCTGCATCACTAATATACGAGACAGTACTGAATTTGCACCATATAAGATACATCATTAAAACATTACAGGGTTTGTCTTTTTTTTTTTTTTTTTTAACCACCACTAGTAAACCAAGCTCTTGAAAAACACTAAGTTAAACCGTAATTTAAGTAATTTAATAAGCAGGCATTGGACCTCAATGACAGCACTCACACTAACAATACTCTTCACACACCTGTGAAACATCTGTTTAACAGGTTTCAGAGTAGCAGCCGTGTTAGTCTGTATCCGCAAAAAGAAAAAGAGACTAACAAATTCATTTGAGCATAAGCTTTCATGAGCTACAGCTCACTTCATCAGCTGTTTAACAGCATCCAGCTGCCAGGACAGTGCCTTGAACCAGTGTCACAACAGTAGGAACATAATATATACCCACAATGCCAGGCTCCACTTTGGGGATTTTAAATTACACAGTTTGATTCTGTACAGGGTCTTTCATTCAAATTACAACTATGGGTTTATATTGGCACAGAGAGGGCCAACAACTGCTGAAACAAATGCACATTTCTCTCTAGCAGTTTTTCTTCTGAGACATTTGTGTGTCTGGACACAATACAACCACCCCTCTCTACGCAGGCCGTCCTTTGTGTAGAGCAGTCACATTCAGCCACACAAGCGACACAGCCCCCAAGGCACATCAGCCCACCCGTTCCCTGGGTGACGGGCAGGTCCGGCCACCCCAGCGCCCACTCGCCCCCGCCCCAGAAAGCCCAGCCGGCGGCCCGGGTTACTTACATTCTCGGTGTCGCGTTCATTCACCGTAGGCAAGGGAGTTCTAGTGGACATTTTAATTCGCTTGTGCCGGAGCCACTGGCTGCTTGCGACAGCAAAACAAAACACCCCCTCCCCAACAAAAGCCGACCCCCCCCCAAGAATGCTTGTCACTCTGCTGCGAGACAGCGGTTACGAAGGGCCACCATCAAAGGGAAGGGGTGGGGGGGCTGCTTATTTCCACCGCCGCCACCCCACTTCCGAGCTATATTCCAGCCTGGCGATGGAGCAGCGTCTCCCCCCGGGGAGTCCTCCGGGCTCATCCTACAGCCAGCTTAGGAGCCCAGCGCGCAGAGAGGGGGAGGGCGGGGGGATCCTTGCAGAGCGCAGCGGGCTGAGGGGGGCGAGGGAGCGGCCCGGAGAAGGCAGCGGGGCGCTGCAGAGCCCGGCCAGGAAAACAAGCCGCCGCTCCGCAGCCAGCTCCGAGCACTGGCAGCCAGGCAGGCCCGCTCCGAAGCGCTTCCCCCTCCCTTCTCCCCCCAGCCCCGCTTCACCGGGCCTCCGCTAGCATGCCGGGCCTCCCCCACCCGCTCCGCCGCCCGGCTCGCCCGGGCTCCCCTGCGCCTTCCGAGCCGGGTGTCAGGAGCCCCGCGGGCCGGCTCCGGCAGCCTGCAGCCCCCGCCCCCACTCCACGGCTCAGTGCCGCCCGCTCCGGGATGGAGGATCCAAGATGGCCGCCCGGCTTCCTCCGCTCCGACTTGAACCGGAAGAGCCCGCCCCCTGCCCTGGCGCTGGGCTGGGCGGCCGGCGCCGGCTGCTTGTTGCTAGGCGGCTTGGCCCTGGCGGGGCGCAGGAGGGGAGAGACCTCCGCAGGGACTGAGCGCCCCGGGGGGCGGGTGGCACCCAGTCAGCTTCCCTGTGTGTCAGTCCAGGCTTGGGGCTGCTGAGCTCACCCACCCAGCCTAGCCCCTCAGCCACAGGCGCACCCACCCCAGCAGCCACGCAGCCCAGGTGTTGGGCTCCTGGCGTGCACCAGCAGCACCGCCCTCCTCGCCTCACGGGGCATTCGCACCACCCTGCTCCACCTCGCGTGGCAGCGGCACCAACAGCACCGCCCTGCGCCACCTCCGTGGCCTTGGCAGCACTGCCCTGCTCGGCCTCTGTGGCATTGGCCCTAGTGGCAGTGCGCTAGTCACCTCGCGTGGCCTTGACGCCACCCTGCTCTGCTTCGGGTGGCATTGGTACCGGTGGCACCGCCCTGTTGCAGCTCATGTGGCGTTGGCACCAGCGGCACGGATCTGCTCCACCTCATGTGGTGACACTCTGCTCTGGCACGCACAGCCTCAGCCCGAGTGGCACTACCCAGCTCCGTCTTGCATCGCACAGGGCACTGCCCTGGTTGGCCTTGCATGGCAATAGCGCCATTGCCATGGCCCTGCTCCACTTCCGCCGGCGTGGCGTATTCCGTGGTAATGGCCCAAGTCACTCTGTGGCCCAGTAGCAATATTGCCATGTAGGGGCAGTTACTGTAAATACAATAAAAAGAAAAGGAGTACTTGTGGCACCTTAGAGACTAACCAATTGATTTGAGCATATTTGGTTAGTCTCTAAGGTGCCACAAGTCCTCCTTTTCTTTTTGCGAATACAGACTAACACGGCTGCTACTCTGAAACCTGTACATACAATACCATTTTGTTATAAGGGTCAGTCTAACACTGACTCCCTTTGAAAACAATTGGGTGTTGCAGGGTTTCTCAGTGTGGCCTTTGCGAGCTTGCCGATCTCAGAGTGCTCACTCCACCTTCCTGTTTCCTGCTGCTAACGCATTTGAAACTAAAACACATTAAATACTTTCCTAATATTAATTTTTGTAAACAATTGCTGTAGTTGCCACTAGAATGTTACAGGATCGCGGAAATGCTGGGAAGTAGTTCATGTGAGAGTGACTGGGAAGGAAGGGGGCCTGCATGCTTGTGAATGGAAGGGGAGATGGTGCATCATGAAGGATGTAGGGGAAGGTAATGCATGTGATTGTGAAGCAGCAAGGAGGTGGTCCATGCACTTCCGATTGGGAGGTGTCTATGTTAGCAAGAATAACAGAATGATGCTATTGGGAATGGATGGGGTGAAGGCCAGAGACAATTTCTTTATAAAAATGTGGTCCACAGTATGAAATGTTGGGAAATCTCTGGTCTAGAAATGAAAACTTTGGAACTGATTCAGCTGTGCATTAACAAAGTGAGGGGTTACGCCCCTGGGTTTTCAATCCTGAAGTTTATTTGCTGAAAGCAAAATCACAAGAGACTGCAAGATAGGGCCCTTATACTCAATCCAGAAGTTTTCATTTCCCTTTGTGGTACGGTATATTTAAGGCTCCAGCCCTAAAAAGGGGCTGTGTAAGTATGGCCCTGTGGTGGGGTGTTCACCTCACACTAGCCTGGGAAGAGTCAGTGTGGCTCAGGAGAGGCTAAGTTACGAGATAGGCCGTACTGAGGGAGAGTTTATGTTTGACAGGAAAGCACTGACATGGAGCCCACCTGGACAGGAGTAGGCAGGGCTGGTATAAAGTCAGAAAGTTTACAGCAGCAAGAGGTGGAAAATGGGGCCCAATTAGGACTGCCAGTTTTGGTTGGCAATATTCCTGGAGGTTTTATCATATAACAATCTTTAATTAAAGATTAATCTTTAATTCCTGAAGACTCCAGGACAATCCTGGAGTGTTGGAAACCCTAGGCCCAATTTTAAAAAAACCTACTCTTTTGCAATTCTTTAAGAATACTGGGAAAGGTGTGAGACTGTAAGTCATGAACAAGATATGCAGTACAGTGCATGTTGTCATAGACTCAGGAAGTGAGTCTGCTACACCACAGAACTGAAGAAGAAAAAGGTGGCATTGTGCACGCCTGTAGTCTTTCTCTGGGTTTAGACAGAGAAAGGAAGAAATCCAGGGGGAAGGTAGAAGCTTCAGGTCCAGGTCCCGAGGAAGGGTTTACCAAGAAGGGTGGTGGAGTGAAAGCCTGATAGGATGTGGTAGGATGTGGTAGGAAAAGGATCAGGAAAACAGCTGTAAGGTTTGAAATAGTGCAGACCTTGAACACTAATTTGAGGGTTGCTAAGATGGAATCCAGTGTACAGGGTGGGCCTCAGTTCCCCTATTAGTCACTGGGGAAGTGGCATAGCTTCGAACTGGAGGACTGGCAGGAATGATACCTGGTCAACCAGTTCAGTGACTTTGATTCCCCGAAAGGGGAAAATGATAGTGACTTGGTCTGAGGCCCAAGCCACAAAGAGGGAGCACTGCAATTCCTGGATCATAAGAGGGGCTGCAAAGTAAGTGAAAGACAGAAGGGGCTTTCAGACTCGGTGGAGCTGTTCCCTAGATGCAGCAACAAGAAGGCACCCCAGGGGTGAGTAGAGAACTCTGTGACAGGTCCAGTGGGACTTCATATGGGAGTAAGTGGCTGCACTTGTGGACCTTGTGTAAGATTGAGATCTACAATATTATGGGTGAGCTTTAGTGTTAACATTATGGCTGGCTCCTGTGTGTAGGAAGGGGTGAGAATTTGTGTTATCAAAATCTAATGCCAACAGACCCTGGTCATTGGCGGGCGGGATCGAACCTGGGGTATCTGACGCTTAGTGCATAAGCCTCCACCCCATGAGCTAAAAGCCAACTGGCTGTTAGCTAAGGGTGTAGAGCAGACATATTTAATTCTCTCTGTCTTAGTGGTCTCAGTGCCACTGAATGGGACAAAACACCACACCCAGAAGGTGTGTGGGTTACAAAAACACACTGCAGACAGTCAGTACTTATTTTGCATAACCAGTTTTAAGAATATTCATATTCCTTATCTTGGATGCAGAATTAATTTTGAATTAAAGAACATAAAGAAAAGTCACTACTACAAGTGTTCAGTACCGTCCATTTTTCTTTCGCAGCACTGCTGAGGATTTGATCCCATGAGAATAATACCTTGCCATTCTATGCCAAAATGCATCTGGGGAACTTAATCACTACCCCCTGTGGGGATAGGTATTATTGTTCCTATTTTTAGAGATCCTGTCCTAACACTGCCCAAGCAGAGGAGTGTCACATTGTTATCCTTAGAGCTAGAGTAATCTCCACAACACCTGCCTCCTGCCCACATCTGTGGGGCAATGGCCAGTGGATCTGTATAGTTGCACAGAAAGTCCTCATGGACCTGTGCCACACAGGGCTATGCATACCTAGTTTAGGCTGTCTAAATGTGTTGCTTCCCCACATGCTGACACACACATACAATTTTCTCTTGTAGCAGGCAGGATCCTCTGCAGAAGGAGGAGGGATTTGCCTCTGCCTGGCTTACCAAGGTTACAAAGGAAGTCTAAAGCAGAGCTAGAGAAAGTATACAGGTCTTCTGACACTCAGTCCTGTGCGTTAGCCCCAAAGCTATTCTTCACCCTTTTCTTTCTCAGCTGCTAATAGAATATGTTCCTTACCTGGTGTTTCTAAAAACTGTAATTGACTTATGATGAAGTCAAGAAAAGGAACAAAATAGACAGGTTTGCTCATTAATCTGATTAATGGTCTCAGACTGCACTCATGGGACTCCCACTAACATCAGTGTCCCTGATCCTGAAAACACTTAGGTCTGTGAGTAACTATCAGCAGGTGAAAGTAGTTACTCACAGGCCTAAGTGTTTGCAGCATCAAGGTCATTGACAGTTCTGTGCACAGATACTAAATAGCATTAAAAGACAAAAAATATATGAAATAGTTTCCTAATACTACTTTTCCTGTTAGCAATGTTGTGCAATGGAACATCTATTGGATTGTTCTGTCACTCTTTGTATTTGTGTTTAAAATAGCAAATAACTTTTAAAGAATACAAAACCCTAGGGGTGTCCTATAATATAAAGGGGAAAATGTATTTTTTTTAAAAATGGTGCACGATGAGGCTATTGATAGACAAGTAGCTGATCACTGCCTACAACTAGAAGCTGAATCAATATATCATGTCGACTTATAATTAGGAACTGCCCAAATCTTGGACCCTGTGCAAAGCCTATGTAAATGACCTTTCCACAGGGGAGACATTGGAGGTGGAAGAACATAAGAACGGCCGTACTGGGTCAGACCAAAGATCCATCTAATCCAGGATCCCGTCTGCCGACAGTGGCCAATGCCATGTGCCCCAGAGGGAACGAACAGAACAGGTAATCATCAAGTGAACCATTCCCTATTGCTCATTCCTAACCTCTGGCAAACAGAGGCTAGGGACAACATCCCTGCCCATCCTGGCTCATAGTCATTGATGGACCTATCCTCCATGAATTTATCTAGTTCTTTTTTGAAACATAGAATAGATAGAATCTCCTCAGAATGGTTGCAAAGCTGCTCCATCTCCACTGCTTTCCCCCCTGCCTGCAAATGGGAAAGGACAGAAGAGAACTGGCTATGAGGTGCATAACTGCAGATCCATCGACAACACTTCTGCACCTTTTCCTGATCTGTCTATGCCTAACTTCCAAACTCCACTCCTTATGCTACAGAAGACCGAGTGCCTTTGGAGCAATGTTTATGGACCAAAATGGGAGTGAACTTCCTACATGGTATCTCTGTATTCTGCCATCTCCTACACATGGCAGAATCACACCAGTTACACTGCCATTTGGGCCATGAGCATGCATGGAGCAGCTAGGTGGGCAAGATTTGGGCCAGAATCACTGAATTGAGGAAACTATGGTT